TGATTTAAGGTTGATTAGTATATTTTGGCATAGTTTTCTTATTGTACCGTTCTCTATTATGTTTAATTATTTTAATAACATGTCTTAATAAATACTTACCATTACTTATACTTGCTTTGGTTATTATGTAGGAGACAATCGAAGTCAAATACTGAACGGTGTGTAAAACATTCTGCACAGACAAATAGTTCTGTCAGACTCAAAGAAATTATTGCAAGGAAGAGACTGCATAGAAGCTTAAGTCCAGCATAAAAGCCTTTATCTTGTCATATATACGTGGTGAATACTAGTTATGGCAGGGGGTGTTGGGTGGCAGAGTCCCCACATTAAACCCTCCATCGGGCAGCGCAAACACACACACACGCACACGCACACGCACACGCACACGCACACATACACACTCACACAACACCACTCACACACACACACACACACACACACACACACACACACACACACACACACACACACACACACACACACACACACACACACACACACACACACACACTCACTCACTCACTCACTCACTCACTCACTCACTCACTCACTCTCACGTCTCTTCTGTCTGTCTGTCTGTCTGTCTGTCTGTCTGTCTCTCTGTCTCTGTCTGTCTGTCTGTCTCTGTCTGTCTGTCTGTCTGTCTGTCTGTCTGTCTGTCTGTCTCTCTCTCTCTCTCTCTCTCTGTCTCTCTCTCTGTCTCTCTGTCTCTCTGTCTCTCTCTCTGTCTCTCTCTCTCTCTGTCTCTGTCTCTTTCTCTCTCTCTGTCTCTGTCTCTGTCTCTGTCTTAACTGATGTTGGGGATTTTAGTCTCAGACAAATGTGGATGTCTTCTATAGAATCACCCTTGATTTAACAATGAAAATACATTTTATTCTTTTCTAAAAAATATAAGAAAAGAATATAATAATTATTATTGAAGAGGGTGGTAATAAAAACAATTATATTCTCCTTTTAATTTATTTATGTATAACCCATATACATGGAAGACAGACAAATACAACATCCATTCTCATCTACAACACAAACTTTAAGAAAAGGAAAAAAAGAAGAAAATATGCAATTATGTGAAGAAATAAAATGGCTTAAAAAAGAAAAAGTTTGTAACTCAAAACAGTACTATTCGAAACAAACTGGAAGTGTAAAAATATATGTGCACATTATATATCGTGCTAGCACAGGAAACAGTATACTATAAAAAGAAAAACAAAAGCAGATCAAACAAAAACAAACAAACATTTGTACCACACAGAGACAGGAACAAAAACAAAATTCAAAGCTACGGGACAATCACAAGCAGGTGCAAAAAAGTGAACATATACTGTACATACAAACCCTAAATATACATACCATTTTTCTGTAAATATGTTGATCATCCTATCTGTAAATACAAAGCTATTTAAATATCTGTAGTGATATCACTGTTGAGGAATTTAATTTTTTTTCTCTCCAAAACATCCCCTTTCATTATATTTCCTTTCATTACTATTTTTCCTGTTATAAAACTTGGTAAAATGAATTCGCATCTTAATATATAGGCCTATTATAACATCTTTTAAAAATCACATATATTTACATTCCCTATTTCTTTAGAAATCATTGCTTTTAAAAGATTTCTTTTTGAAGTTGTATCATACATTAAATTATGTATGTTTTCAATAAATATTGCTTCTACCTGTTTTATGATGTTGATAATACTATTATTTGCATAAAAAGAGATATTTCCCTTTGCTAAAGTCAAGAGATGTGTAAATATTACAATATTTATCTGTGCCTGATGTCTTTAACACCTCAGAACAGTTCTTGCAATCGTGTTTTTTTTTTTTTTTTTTTTTTTTTTTTTTTCAAAACTTTGTGACCGAAACTATATTCGTTTGAATGTAATCTTCATTACAAGTAACACTACTCTCAATGGGAGTATCTTCCTCTTCTGGATTAAATAATGCAAAAAAAAAATTACAAGTGTTTTTTTTTCCATTTCTGGATTACAGTTGGGAAAAAAATGTTGCAAGAGTATTGTTCTGTTCCCTGTCATCCTTTAGCTCATTTTCTCCTAAAACTTCTACAATTTCTAATGGTGTAGTTTCTGCAGTTGTCTCTTTGTCAATGCCATTTTTAAAATATTCTAAAATACTACAACTATCTTTAATACAATTACTGTTGGTCGAGTTTTCCATGAAATTTTTGTTCATAGTCCCTTTTAAATATGTAATAGATTTAGGAGCAGTTTGGGAGTCACAATTATCGCCTGCATTTCAAATAACACTAAAAAGCTTTCTACAGCATCTTAATTTATTCTGTTAGTTAAAAGATATTCAGACCTATAATTACTTTTAAAACCTTCCCACAGAGACTTCAAACTGCAAAGATTTAATATCCAACCTTCTGTGCATGGGAGAGCTCTTTTCATTTCCCATGAATTAAGCCAAGATTGCAACTGAACAAGTTGATTATTCAACGTCAATAACTGCACCTATGTGCTCTTTATAATGATAGCATTGGGAGCTATTAAAAAGGTCAAATAACCTGTCCATATTGCACACACAATCTGCAGTTGCACTGGCTCCATCTGGTAATGCCCCAAACTGAGAATATGTGGACAGTCCAGCAGCAACACTTCTACTCAATACCTGGCTTGCTAAACAAACACACAACTTATCAAAGCTGTTG